ACAAATAAAAAATGGCTAAAACTTCTACAAATCTTCTGAAAAAACGTAATTATGTCAAAAATCACAATTATGCTACAATTGGATGGGAATTGGGATATAAAAATTCAGTGTGCCCAGTTTGTAGATATTTTGTAGATAAATTGTAGATTATTTGTATTCTAATTGTAGGTGCTTTGTTTTTTGTTTTCACAAATCAAAAACGACTAAAACTTCTACAAATCTTCTGCAAAAAATGCAATTATGTCGAAAATGCCAATTATGCTACAATTGAAATGGGAATTGGGATATTAAAATTCCAGTTTGTAGATATTTTATAGATAAATTGTAGATTATTTGTATTCTGGTTGTAGATGCATTGTTTTCTGTTTTCACAAATCCAAAATGACTAAAACTTCTACAAAATCTTCTGCAAAAAACAGTCTACAATTTATCTACAATTTATCTACAACTTCTGCAATATGTCTTCTTCTTCTTCTTCGAGTTTTAATCTGAATTTCAGTCAAAACCAAGTCTAATCTTCACCAAAACCCCTCAAAATTGAGATATAAACTCCAAAACATATTCCCAATTATTTTCAACAACACCCAATCAAAATAAATAATAATTTTTGAAAACCCAATTTGAATTCAAAGCTACAAAACTTTTTAATGGCTGTATATGGTGGAATCGCTGCTCTCTTGTCTCTTTGAAGGTTTGTTCTTCTTCATTGAGAAAATTTGAAGCTGAAGGTAAAAGTGTGTATGAACTTTGAAGATTTGACTTCAATTTTGATGAACTTTGTTGTTCTTCATTGATGAACTTCAACTGGAGTAAAATAGGGAACCAACCTTGTTGAAGGGTTTCTTCAATTTTCTGTGAATTTAGAGGTAGAATTTGGTTTCAGAAGATGGAAAATGGTAAAAAGAACGTGGGTATGGGTAAAACGTGGGTGGGACTGAGGGGTTAGGAGAGAGAAACGTGCAGATTCCTTTAATTAAGGAGTAAAAAATGTACAATTAATTATGGTATAGAATTGGTAATTTGGTATACTAAGTGTAATTAAGTCAAACCTTAAACATTGAGAGTAATAAGGTTTCCTATGTGGCATAGGAATGTAAAAATCTCATTTCTAAATAGGAGCCCTTTAGAGTCCACATTTATACATATCCAAATACGGGTCCATGCATTTTTTTTTCTTCTTATCTTATCGTATTTTGAAGAATTTGCACGATATAGCCAAGTCACTCCCATTTGATACGAGTACATCAAAAGGATGTTGTAACATAGCAATGTTATTATTGACTGCAGTGCTAATTCGCCAATAAAAAGGAAATAGAAAGTTATTCTAAGTTATATGCACACAGATTAAATTAACATCACCGGCCAGCTTGCTTATTCTTCAATTTAACATGTAATAAATGGCTAAAAACTAACTTCTGCTGACAAAATTACCAACACAAAGAACAGTTAAATATGTGGACAGGAGCTTGATCCTAGGAGTTTTCGACCGTGTTTTTGTGGCAATGGTGCAAACCTTATGTGTGGACAGGAGCTTGATCCTAGGAGCAGTTGGACAGTTCATCTAAGAAATCACCAGGCATAAAACAAGAGGGCTTGCGGAGAAGAGTGATAGCTGGGTCAGCAGTAACCCATCGAGAATAGCTTGATAAAGCCTTCATTAAAGAGGAGAGAATGAGAGAGATGAAAGCCACCCCCATCATCCAAAAAAATATAAGCATGTTTAACCCCTAAACAACAAGTGCCAATCATATTTTCTAGTTTTTATCAATGTTATTCATACAGAACAAGACAAAGCGGCTAGCTACTACAATATCAAAAGTTAAGAGGGTTCATTGCAAGGATAAAGATGATTAAGGGTCAAAGAACCAAAACCTAGAATAATGGAGTTACGGTTCATTTCAGTCGTATGCAAATGCAAAAATCTTATCAAAAAATGGTTTTTTCTTCGTATGTAAATGCATAAATATTTTCCATATCTAATGACTAAGCCTTCATATGAATTGGAGTCATGCAATCAACTGAATTATATCAAAGCTAAAAATTATGGACCAAATAGTTCATCATAGCAACAGAATTTCATAGGAGTATAAACATAAAATGGTCCTTCTAGTAATGAGTTTGTAGTGTAGTGCAAGAAAATAATTCCAATCACATCAGTTAAATAGGTAGTCCCTAAACATGAAAACGAAAATAATCGCCAATAAGCTTAATAAAATTGTAAATGGAAAAGCAGAATCTATACAGAAGATTAAGTTTAGATGCTTAAGGCTTTTTGGTATAACCTTCACAATGTCAGATGAAAATAGCTTGGTAGATTTCATCGACTCACTACAGGGACAGGAATGTACAAAGGAACCCTTATTTTTGTTTTTCCATATAGAAGGGTTCTGACTATGTAAAATGTACTAGTACCATCTTAGTGCTAGATTTGTCCCCTTTTTTTTCTATCAATATATCCATTACTTACCTGTTCAAAAAAAAATTGCAAAAGGCCCTTTGATAGACTGAAGGAACTCGGGCAAGAGAAATTTAAAGGGGAAATAGGTCCACGAAAATGAAAAACCAAACTGAGAGGATGAAATTCCACATACAACAGACCATGAATGAAGAATATGGCAAGTTTTACATCAATGGTGTTAAGACCACATTTTCTTTTCCTTTTTTTTTTGGAAGAAGAAGAAGAAGAAGATGGTAACATTTGTTAAGACCACATTTGTAGGATTCCTACATGCATTTTTTCTAATTCAACTCCAAACCTGCTCTATATTTGCTCAATATTTAAACGAAGGTCAACAGACTAAACACCCATTTTTCTTACCTGAAACTCTGCTGGTAACATACAGACAGGAAGACGAACAGCATACTTGTCATGAGAACAAACTGAGCATACTAGTCATTCAACCGTTGACTTATCTCCATTTTACTTTAATAGTAGATGTTTACATCATTGTCACTCATTCTTTTTTCTTTTTTCCTTTAATTTTTTCTTTTTTTGAAGTATGAACAGGAAAAGAGAGGTAAAAGAATGTTGTTCACTCATTCTTCCTACCAAGAACCTTTTCAACGAAGGACTAATCCGTTTTACTAAGTTGTGCACCCATTCAAGTCAGGATTTCTAGAATTTTTATCTAAATGACTGGCCTAAACCAGAATCATGATGATATCTTTCAGCTGCAAATAATTGTTTGCTGTCCTTTCTTAAATGCTTCACCATTCTAAAACAACAATCCTATACTTCACAATGATTTCAAAAAGTAATTGAGACGGAGAAAACAGACACGACCAGAACCATATTTGTTTTTTCATGACCGATATCTGTTTAGAGCCAAACCTTAGAACAAACTCGAGGATAATGGCCCGCCCCTCTGCCCTTCTCCACTTAAATACTGGACTTAGATCGATTGGCACAGGGCTACCTGTGACCTAAGCCAAAGTCCCTCAACCTATGCCAATTGAGCTAAGAAAACCAATATTCTTTTTTAAGGTATAGAAAAGTACTTTTTGGTTTTTATTGATGCAAAGAGAATTAACAAAGCAGGAAAAAGTAACTAATAAGTGCCTCCAGGGCCTAGCTTAAGTGGCAAAGGGTGGTGGATTTGTGTCTAAGGTCACAGGTTCAAGCCCCCACACCATACAAAGCAAAGCCCGGTATTTAAGGGGAGAAAGGTAGAGGGGCGAGCCAATTATCCACCGAGTTTCGAAGGCTGCGGTTGGTCCAAAGGATCGGCCCCAGACGAATTTCTCGGTCATAAAAAAAAAAGTAACTAATAAGTTAAAAAGGACCTGATGGACGTTTCTACAGCATTTGGAAGGCAGGTCAGTGCTTATTGCGTTATCAATAAGAAGACTTAGTAGTTATGCTTGACCTAAAATTTGCTTCATACTATGTTCAAGAGAAATTGCTAAGCTGTATGTTTTGTATCAATATCATTTCCATAGCAATGTTTCCAGATAGACCTTATTATTCTTTGATATTGTCACCAAGAAAGTAAAAAGAAAGGACCCCTGTTTGCTTCTATTTGAGAAAAGGTAACTCCTGCTTGTTTCTACTATATAGCTTCATAACAAGAGTAGAATCTTGGGGGGTTAAAATGTAATATCTGCAAGATTGAGACCTGCAACATCTACATAACACAGAAGCAGATTGAGTACACTTACAAAAGAGAGATAACTTTAATGGGGAAAGACCACCAGATTTACTGGAGAGATGAAAAAATGTCTAATGTATTTTAGACATTCAAATCATGCTACATGTCTAGACTTAATCCATTTAGGGATCGCTTGGTTTGAAGACAAGTTATGATGAGATTAGTTATGTTGGGATTAGTTATACTGGTATTATTTCTTATTGACCGTTTGGTATGTTGTATTAATACTGAGATTGTCAATTTTACTGCTTTATCCTGAAATAACTTATCATGGGATTACTATTCCACCCTCTGGCAGGTACATGTTATCCAGGTACTATTTTTAATCATGGGATAACTTATCCCAGAATTAGTAACCAAATAAGGGATAAGGTAGTACTAAATTTTTATCTCAGGATTATTTTTGCTTATCCATCATACCAAACGACCCCTTATGGGTCGTTTGGTTTGAGGTATAAGAAGGTAAAGTGCTGGTATAAAAATTTAATACCACCTTAATACTTCGTTTGGTTAGCAAACGAGGTATAAATTATCCCAGGATTAAAATTAACACCGGGATAACTTATACCTTATAGAGGGTGGGGTAATTAGCACCGGTATAACTTACACATTCTTCTTACAAATTATGCAATTGTCATATTTAATACAACATACCAAACAATGGATAAAAAACAATCCCAGCATAACTTATCCCAGTATAACTTATACTACTATAACTTATCCCGGCATAAGCCGTATTCAAACCAAACGGCCCCTTAGTGTTCTAACCATTATAAGAAATATGTCGCTTATCAGAGACAATCTTGAGAAACCACAACAAAGATACAGGAAACTCACATACACTGGTGCAGAGCAAGCAAAATCAGCAGGTGGCACATCATAAATTACATGCTAAATCGCAACTAATACATGATAATAAAGTCTATATGCATCATTTAATTAAGAACCACACAGGAAAATCAGCTTAAATTATCAAAATTGGATAGGGCAAGATTCTGCAATATGTTGTTACAGCCTTAGAGCAGCATATATGACAACTGACAAACCTCAAACAATCAAAAGCAAACCTATTGCTGCACTGCCTTCGCAGAGAGAAAAACTTTTCATGGTGTGAAAGCCCTCCTTTGTTCAGATCTTCCCCGGTTTCTATGAAGATCTAACTTGTTATTTGATCTTTGGTGAGCATATCGATTATCATTAATTTCCGGCCTCCTAGAAGATCTTGAGGTTCTTTCTTCGGCCCTATCGGAACTTCGTCCAGACGAAGTCCTCAATGATCTTATTGGAAGCTTTCTGTCCTCATATCTTGTTGGAGCATCTTGCTCACTATTATTTTCTGCTCTCCAAGATGATCTTCTTGATGTTCTTTCCACATCTCTGTTTCGATTTCTTCCAGAGAACGCCCTCGGCGAGGTTGCTGAATGCTTCCTATCATCAACTCTTGTACTCAAGTTTAATCTTCGGCTAGGCTTCACATCTCTAGCCTCATTGTCCGTGTCATCATCATTATTATCTGCTCTCCAGGACGATCTTCTAGAGGTTCTTTCCACAACTTTGTTTCGATTTCTTGACGTCCGTGGTGAGTTTGCTGAAAGCTTCTGATCATCAACTCTTGTCCTCAAGTTCAATCTCCGGTTACGCTTCACATCTCTAGCCTCATTGTCCATCTCATCATCATTGTAGTCATTATACACATCATCAGAGTCCTCATCATCCTCATCATCTTCTTCTTCTTCTTCTTCTTCTTCCATATCATCGTGAGGTTCCTTTTCATCACCTTCATTCTGATCATGACTACCTTTTTGCTGTGTATCTTTTTGTTTTTTATCCTCAGTCACCTTGTTCATGAGATGAACAAACTTATACCTCATTTCCATCAACGGGCTCCTCTGAATCAACATTCCCCTTTTATAACCCTCCTTCAATACCACAGTATGTGTGCCAATCTTACTCGACACGTAGAATATGCCGGGATGCAACATTAGCGCCCTCTTAAACCTAGAACGAAGTCCCAAACACTCTCCTATCAAAAGGAGATTATCTCTCTCCGCCTTCTTCCCAACACAAAGATTAAGAATTTCATGTAAAATTGCCACTGCCCACTTATCAGCCTCATCACTCTTTGCAGGAAGATGCATTGCATTCTCATACGGCGAAATATAAGGCAACTTCTGCCACTCATCAATCCATTTCTTGTACTTCTTATCCACCTCAAACCCATTCGAATACTTCAAAGCAAACTTATTAACTAACAAATCCTGATCATTTTCACTCTTCATTGCTTTTTTTTGCATAAAGGAAACAGCAAGTTCATGACTCCAACAAACTAACTCCAACACCAACTCATTATTATTAACCTGAAAATAATCAGGATATTCTGGTACTAAAGTCTTCGCATAACTATCACATAAACCCAAATCCCATTTAAGCTTATCAATAACATGTAATGGAATTTTATTAGTTTTACCTATCATCAAAAGCTTCAAGATCCTATCAGCAACATCTTCTTTGTAACTCACACTTTGGTAAAACAACTCTTCATCTGAATCAAGACTGAGAATTTCTGGTGTTAACTTGATATGAGGGTGTATGTTAATGCTAGCTGGGAAAAACTCTTGAAAAATTGAAGGGTATTTTCGGATAAACTCGACGGGCCGAATTGGGATTTGAAGGGAGTCTTTGGATTGTGTAATAATGTTTAAGGGGATGGATTTCGAGGGTTCAGATTTGATGAGGTTCTTGATGTTGAGAAGGGGTTTGAGGTTCTTTTCTCTTTCGACAGCGTGGTCGAGGCCACGGTCTCGGACGTGTTTGAGGGAAAGGGCATCGTCGAATAGTGTTCGCCATTGTTGACGCTGGTGGTGCTGAGTTCGACGGAGGAGGAAATGCATGTAGCTAATTTTGGGGTATTGGGGCTTATGAGAGGTGTTGTTTCGAGGGTTTAAGGAGGGCTTTTGAGGTCATATCAACATAGAAGAAAGGTAATTGCAAAGGTCATCCTTAGGTTAATGCCAAGAATGCAACTTCAGCTTCCAAGTTTAGTTATTCTTAAGATGAAGGGTTAATTTCATCTAGGAGGCTATAATAGAATACTTAACTTCATCCAAAGTCATTAAATCTATATCTATATTTACATTTACATTTATCTCTTATATATTAAAAAATTAAAGTTTACATTGTGATTAAGCCAAGTAGCAAGTCACTATTAATTAAAAAGTCACTTGGCAATCTTAAAAAGAATTTGTGGGAAATTGTCTAATAAGAAAATATAGAATCGGTTAAATTATATATGGAATGTCATTTACTAAAATTAAATTTTTAATTATATCAATTACGTTTGGACTCATATATGCAATACCATTTACCGAAAAAAGCTTAGATTTTTCCACAGCCAATGTAATTTAACTTAGAAACTTTTCAATGTTTTATTCACTCAGCTAATGCAAATACGGTAATGTCCATGACTCACAATGAAATTTTTTACATATTAATAATATATATGCAAAATTATACGGAGATTGTCAGTCAAGGAGATATTGTTTAAAAGAAATTGACGGGTGAAATTCAAAAATAGCCAGATATACAATTGATCTTTAAAAATAGCCCAGTTTCAAAAGTAATCGAAATTTAGCCCCTTTTCATGTAAAGAAAAATCTGAGCGAAAACACTGTTCAAAATCCGGAAAATACGCAGTATATTATGCTGGAGTTCCAGCATAAGTACTTGAACTCCAGCATATTATACTGGAGTTCCGAGATAAGTATGCTGGAACTCCACCATAATATGATGGAGATCCAGCATAAGTACACTAGAACTCCAGCATAATATACTGGAGTTCCAGCAAGTATACCGGTCCAGCATAATATACTGGAGTTTGGATCACCGGTGCTCCACTCTCCAGTATATTATACTGGAGCCAGCAAAGTATACCGGTCCAGCATAATATACTGGAGTTCATACACAGGTGCACCGAACTCCAGTATATTATGCTGGACTGGTCTCTGCTGCAGTAAAATAGTGGCTATTTTTCATTGACTTGGTAAACGCTGGCTATTTTGAAATGACCAGTTCGAAAACTGGCTATACCGTGCTATTTTAACGAAATTGACTTTAGTAGAAAAATTAGCCATACCAATGAAATTTTGAGTATCAAGAGGTTAAAATTCGAAGGTTCGAGTTGTGAGGTTATGACACAATTCAAAACACGAGAAACCGAGACAAAACGTTCTCGCTTGACTTGCTTATTTAGTAGGAAAAGGTGCATGCTAATTTATGTGCTATATTGTCTTTGGTACTTCAACTAGAATCTCCATAAGATTATTTCTATTAAGGTCTTTGAAAAAAATTATGTTTTCTTGTTAGTATTTTATAGCTTCTCTTCAGGGTTGTACTGTTGTCGTGTCGAATATTTTATTGTAAAGAATTTTTTGTTATCAATTGAACACCTCTATTTATCATCAAATTTATCTTTTAGTTTAACTAGTGATCTTGATACTGGATTTAATATGAGAAGTTGGAAGTACATTGGAAGAAAGAGCGGCGTAGATAGGGTGCATATATCTGTCGTAGTAATATGCTACACCTCTTTTTATTTTATTTTAGAGATTCTGTAATTTTATTTCTTTTAAATAGGGTGCATATATCTGCAATCCACCCGGACTATGGGGAGTATTTCTTTGGTAATGGAGGATATGTACCTCCATACCCCTTCGCCTCGGTGTTACTTACTTACTGGAAGCCTTCTCGACTTTGAAGTCGATTTCAGTGGAACATCCCTAAGGAACGAAACTCTTCAAAGGAGGCTCCGAAACTACCTCGGGAACGGTCACTTCGGCACCCATGGCCGGGTTGGAAGTTGAAGGGGCGGTTTGCTGAGACAAAGATTTGGAAGTTTTTGCCATCGGATTCTGGAAAATATGAAGGTTTTATGAAAAATATGAAGGTTTGAAGATGAGGATGAAGATTTGAAGATGGGGATGAAGGTATGAGGGTCTGGTTTGAAGATTTAAAGAAGAAGTATAAAGATATGAAGATATGAAGATCTAAGAAGCAATATATGAAGATTTGAAGAGGTTAGAGTTAAGTGAGAATTTGAAGGTAAATCAAAGAGCTCTGGAGTCGGAAAGTGAAAAAGTGAAAAGGGGGTCGGAGCTTTTATAGAAGAAGGATAATCAATGCGTGACGTTTCGCATTTGGGGACAGTCAACCGACGACTGACATGTGTCTGAAGTCAAACGACGTAACTAATGGGATGTTTCGGTGACCCGTAGACTTGGTTGTAACATACGAAGGTAGGAACCGGTGTTAATTTATCGCTTCCTGTTGTTTCAAAAAATCTACTCTCCGAAAAATGAGGGGACTATCTGTGTACGGGTAAAATCGAGGGCAAAGTTTTCCCCGATTCCCCAATGAGAAAACGAAAGGGAAGCACAGATTGACGTGGTTACAATCGAGGCCAAGAACCCCTCTCATCGAGACCCAGGAAGAATGAACGATGTATCTGAGATCAGACACGGTAGAGCGACGCACCCCGGATCGAGTATAGTTTTTGGACCTCGGGAGACGTGGTCAACGGTTATACACGACGGATAGGGGGCCGCAGTACTTGCCCTCAACCGGATATTACGGCACGAATCCTGTTCAGTATCAATTACAGATCAACAATTACCGGAAGAAGAAGATTTTTACCTTTTTTGGACTTGTACTAGGACTAAAATTCTCCTACTTATAATAGGGAAGCTTTTCTTTAGTATGACACATTGTAACACGCAATTCAAAGCAATAAAAGTTTATTTTTGTCTTCTAGCTACTGTTCAAGGCGTTACTCAGTGGTTCTTTTCTCCACTCACGACCGAGCTTGTACCGAGGGCCCAACCGAGGACGAGTTCCACTGTTCAATCTAAGAGCAGGCTTGGTCATTACATTGCAATTGGTTTGATCTTTTATTTTGTCTTTAATTCATCTATTTGTTATTCCTAATTATTCGTATTGAATTAAGCCACGTATCCTTTAAACCGCGTACAAAATTAATTGTTACTCATTTTTTGGGTAAACAGAATACTTAGGCGAACTTGTAGGAAATGTAGTGTGGAGTATTTCGATCATAGAGGAAATCATAACCCTAGACTTTTCCATTCTTGTCCACAATATTTGCTCTGTTAGTTATAAACTATAGCATTTTAATTACTTTGTCCTTAGTTAGTAAACAGTCAAACTATTATTTAATATTTTTGAAGGTTGATTACTTGAATTCTTGTGAAACTAGTGATTGTGATTAGTAGGTTAATTCTCTGTGGGATTGGACTCCGAACTTGTAAACCGGATTATATTTACAACGACCGCTAGACCTCTCAAGAGGCTGTCACGACCCCAATTTCCTATCTTAGGATGTCGCGATGGCACCTAAGCTCTAAGACTAGGTAAGCTTAACATTTAATAATAGCTTAACAGAAATGACAAAATGGAGATACTAAAATAAAACCGATAAGCTCATATTAATTCCCAAAATAGAACATTAACAACATAGTTCCCAAACCGGTGGAACTGAGTCATAAACTCTACCGAATATTCTAAAACCTCTACTACAACACAATATGATAAAGGAAATAACAGTAATGAGATGGTAACAGAAGGTGACTCTGAGGTCTGCGGACGTCGAGCATGTATACTTTGGAGTCTCCAGAAAACAGTTAATTAATCAATCACTAGTGTCCAGCACGGGCGACGTACCTGAATCTGGACAAAAGATGTGCAAAAGCATAGTATGAGTACACCATAACGGTACCCAGTAAGTATCGAGTTTAACCTCGGTAGAGTAGTGACGAGGTCAGGTCAAGACACCTATTAGGACAAGATAAATAGAACAATAATATAATAACGGGAAGAAATGAAAAGCGAAGAAATGAGTGATAACAAAGCAGTTTAGTAACGTGATCTAATGACGGAATTTTTAAACAAAAGACAATAAGAATGAAGAACATAATGAGGACCACAAATAATCAAATACGGTCAAAACTGGTAAGACAAGGGAGAATAAGAAAACAATCAAGAACCGTTCGACCAATAAGCCTTTTCAATATGAAATGCACAATAAGAATCACAACTGAGGTACCGCCTCATTTACACATTTCACAATTTCAATCACGCTCCATCCTTATATTACTGTGTGAGCCTTATATTTAGTTTTGAAACAATTTTTTCCGAAATAGCTACACGCGTTTTAGCCCACCTTATCTCACCCCATGGCTTCAAGTAGTTCCCCTACTAGCATAACGCGTATCAAGCCCACCTTATCTTACTACATGCATTTCAACCCCTAGCCTTATACCACCGCATGCATATCAATATCACGACACAATCGAAACTCGCACCACAAGTGCCCATATGCCACAACTTGCCAAAAAGTAATTAATACTAATTTTTTCACAATAAATAGCCCATGACTTAACTACAATGAGTACAAGAATCTTAACAATAACAAAATGAATGAAGATTGCTCAACAAGAAAAGATATCTCAACAATTAACAACTTCACCTCAATGTGATAACGACTTTTACATCTTCAACACCAATAACTCAATAAGAAGATATTCCATAAAATAAAAAATTCAAATAAAAGTAATTCAACAATTAAAGAGGTAACAAGATAATAAGAAAGGCAATAATTTCAACTAAAGCATATAATAGCAAAATAACAAGTACGAGATAGAATACGTGCTAAAAATGTCAAATAAAGCATGTAAAAGTAGATTAATAATGAGAGATATAACATATTATGACAACTCAATTAGAGGCATGGAAAGAGTCTAAATAACCTAAATCAGTCAAATACCACATATAGCCTGTGTACGCACTCGTCACCTCGCGTACACGTCTTCCACATAACACAAATAGCACAATTAACCCAAATCTTAGGGGGTAGTTCCTCACACAAAGTTATGCAAGATATTTACCTCAATTAGGCCAAGGCAACCCTCGGAAATAGCTTTTCCCCTAAAATTCGCCTCCAC